AAATCACCTATAATCCCCTTTCTGTAGGCTGTGGTTACGGCTCTTCTCATTCAGCACTGCGGGGAAAATATCATTTCCAGGTTCTAATTTGGCCTCAGAAAACCAGTAAAATATATATTTTTTTCATATTAATTTGTCAAATATTTTAAATGTTTAAGGGGCAAAAAAAATCAAACAAATATCTGAAAATTCGTCGATATGTAGCCTATAGCCTATATATTTTTGCGCAGCATTTGGCATAGGCCTACAGTTCAAATTAAACTGTTATGCAATTTTAAACGGTTAATCGGTTAAACATGGACACCCCTATGTGCATCTTGCTTCAGATCATAACGTTCCATAACACCGATAAACTCCGCCTTTTACCTTGAGCACGCCTCTAGCCCGAGCTGGCCCCCTCTGGCCCAAGGTATTCGACGGGCCAGAAATCCTGGCCGTTGGCCCTGAGGAAGCCCCGATCAAGCCCCGGAAGTGACAGTGGAAACGCGACTGGCCCTGGCACGCACTAGCACGGCCCGGCCCTGGCCCGGCAGTGGAAACGCGGCTATTGTTAAAATTGTTACCGTTTTAAAAACAGAATTTTACGACAACAAAAAAGCACTTTAATTTTGTAATGACCATGTTTAAACAGTTTTTGCTGTCTTTAAATTTGTTAATGTTATTTTGATTTAAATAAAGATTCAGATTCAAATTTCTTTATTTCTTTACTACATCAGCTAATCTACCATTTGCTATAGATTTGTAAAGCCTGATGGCTGTAGATAGATCCGCTGTCTGTCCTGCAGTGAAGAGAGAGTACCATTCCCGTCAGTTGTTTCTCTGGTCCATCAAGATGTTCTGAAGTGGATGCTCTGTAATGTTTAGAACGGTGAATCTAGTCTGGTAGGAGGAAAAGGTCTTGATTGAATTAGTAATTCATGTGTGTGCGTGTGTGTGTGTTTGTGTGCATGAGAGGGAAAGTGAGCGAGAGAGACTCGGATATTGCTCCATAGTAGCTCCAGTAGTACTCATTTTCTTTTTCCAAGGAGAAATAAAGGAGTCATTAAAAACACTGAATTGAGATTAGCAAGCCAAGTCTCACCTAGTGAATTTTAGGAGAAACATATGAGAAACATTTTAGACAAAATAGAGATTAAAATAAGGCTTAGATGAGAATCTCAAATTTGTCTCCTGAGCTATAGAAAAGCAAGCTTTGAGCAGTAAAATTTTCCATGTTTTTGTGTTTTCCCAAGAACTACAAAATATGACTTATTCCAACAGTTTAATAGGTCGTCAATATCTAAATAAACCTTAAATGAGTAATTTTCTATTAAGTTTGTCTTTCTTTCAATATAGAATTTGTCACACTGTGGGTGCAGGCTGAAGGAACAGGTGGAGTCCAGATGAACTTGAAGATGAATTTAATTCCAAATATCACAGGCAGGGGTACAGATGATGGCAGAATACAGACGTAAACACAGGGTAACATTCAATATAACATGAACATCGACTGACAAAGACAGACTGAATGAGATGGAACTAAATACACAGAGGAATCAAACAAAACGAGGTGCAAACAGGTGAAAAGGACGGCCGCGGCGGTGAGGGCCCTACGGGCGGGCGCGGCGGTGGGAGCCCTTCGGGCGGCCACGGCGGTGAGGACCCTTCGGGCGGCCACGGCAGTGAGAGCCCTTCGGGCGGCCGTGGCTGGACTACTGGGCCCCCCCCCCCCAAAAAAATATTTGGGCTGAGTCCCGGGTTAGCGGCAGACGGGGAGTGGACGGTCTCGGGTTGGACGGCCTCGAGCGATGGCTGGACGGGGCTGGTCGGAACCAGCGGTGAGGGGAGCTCAGGTTCGGGAGGGCTGGACGGGACCAGCGATGAGGGAAGTTCGGGCTTGGCAGGGCTGGACGGAATCAGCGATGAGGGGAGATCCGACTCGGGAGGGCTGGACGGAACCAGCGGGGAAGAGAGTTCAGGCTCCGGAGGGCTGGACGGGACCAGCGGAGTGGGGAGATCTGACTCGGGAGGGCTGGACGGAACCAGCGGGGTGAAAAGTTCGAGTTCGGTGGGGCTGGGCGGAACCAGCGATGAGGGGAGATCTGACTCGGGAGGGCTGGACGGAACCAGCGGAGAGGGGAGATCTAACTCGGGAGGGCTGGACGGAACCAGCGGGGTGAAAAGTTCGAGTTCGGTGGGGCTGGGCGGAACCAGCGAAGAGGAGGGCTCAGGCTGGACGGTCTCTGGCCGGATGGGGCTGGGCGGAACCAGCGATGAGGAAAGCTCGGGCTGGACGGAGCTGGGCGGAACCAGCGATGAGGAGAGCTCGGGCGTTGGAATGGGGCTGGTGCTGTCCTCGATGGTGAGAGGTGACCCACAGGACACCAGCACCCACTCAACATACGCGGCAAAGCTCCCCTGGGGACCCCTCCCGGACAACTGCTCTCTGGTGGCGGTGTTGAGGCCGGCATACAGGAAGCTGTAGAGGCTGTCGTCCGAGAAGGTTGTGGCAGAAGCGAGGTGGAGGAAATCTGCCAGATGATAGTCCAGAGACCGGTCCGTCTGCTCTAAACAGAGCAATTGGACCCCTACGAAAGGGTCCATCTTTTCCTTTAGAAGGTCAGTCGATCTGTCACACTTTGGGTGCAGGCTGAAGGAACAGGTGGAGTCCAGATGAACTTGAAGATGAATTTAATTCCAAATATCACAGGCAGGGGTACAGATGATGCCAGAATACAGACGTAAACACAGGGTAACATTCAATATAACATGAACATCGACTGACAAAGACAGACTGAATGAGATGGAACTAAATACACAGAGGAATCAACCAAAACGAGGTGCAAACAGGTGAAGATGATGAAACAAGACGAGGAACAGGTGGCTGATGAGGGAGTGAGATCGGGAGTAGAGACAAAAGGATCCTGGGAAGTGTAGTGCAGATGACGAAGACAGACTGGTGCAGACGGAAGACTGTGACAGCATTAGAGTTCATAACATTAAAATGTTCTGTTTTACTTCAGAAATCACTGGCACAATTTACCCTAAACGTATTCCCCCAAAGTCACAACTTACCCCGCACCGGGGGCAAGTTGTGCCACGAGACCACTTTTTTCCCAAAAGCTATATTTCTGAAACAATTTATCTCAGATCCAAAGTCATTGTTCTCAGGGATGCACCACATCCTGAAATATATGTACATCCATCATTTGAAGGCATCACTGCCATGGCCTCACTTTAAAGTCACTTTGAGTAAAAACTGGCACAACTCACCCCACTTTCCCCAACAGCAAACATCTCCTCACTATCCGCTAGCTGCCTGTCCCCTAAACACACTGTAAAAAAAATGCGGTCTATGCATACAACCCAGGCTCCACAAATGGCAATAAAAACAAACTGCAGAAACCCGCTCCACGAAACATAACAAACTGTTCCAGCCAATAACTGACAAGAAGGCCTTGGGGGTGGGGTTTGGGGGGTCAGTGCAGATAGGAGGAGGGAGGGTCTATCTAGCCTCCGTTTTGTTTAGAGCACCTTTGAGGGATGATCATGGATCATCTCTTCACAAGTCACATTTTTCTTAAATATTGATTTAAAGCATTTGTTATGGTAATCAATATTATTGTAATTTTATATATATATATATATATATATATATATATATATATATATATATATATATATTAGTAAACATGCAAAGTAATAGAGGGAGAAACAGACAGTGTTTAAAAGTGTAATGGTGCATATCTGACCATTAAAGGGGACATATCATGCAAAATCCCCTTTTTTAGCCCTTAAATGCATTTTGTTGTATATTTGGAGTGTTTATAAGTACAGAAAAGATGAAATTATTCTCTTCAGGTGCTTCGTTTATATCTTTATATTCTGTTTTGGTCATATTTTTCAACCTGTTCAGATTTTTCTGTTGTCTATGACGTTTTTTGAACTATTACGTCGCCGTATTTGCGGCGGAACTGACAAATAAGGACATTGACTACCGGTCCAAGACTTCGAGCAATCCGCCATTATTATTTCTTGCTCCGATTTTGTAGTCTGAGCTCAATGATGCAGAAGTTACGAGAGGGCAAGTCAAAATGTTCGGTTGTTGGATCATGTAGTGACCTGAAGCACTTCAAGGATTCCCACTTCAACAACCTCCGCCAGTATAAAGAAGGGTTAGCTGATTGCATTTGTCTGAATGAGAGGTAAATTCCTTCTATCTTTGGAGACGACGAACAGAGCATTTCGATAAGCTGTAAATATCGTTAATAAAAATAAAGTACTTTACTTTCTTAAAACACATGGTGGTCATGGTTTAGCAGTACCTTTGTCTTTCTTTGTTTTTGTTTTGAAGTAACGTTACACGTCTGCAGTATTATTGTTCTTGAGTTTCATCAATGGTCATTTAGCTGCTGTGTTTTCATATTATCAATACAGATTTTTTGTGGTAAGATTAGACCGTAGTCATTTATCTTGTCAGTGTGCTTGTTTTAACAAGAGAAATAGTCGACTTTCGCTAATAACACAAAACAGTTAACTCACATACCAATATATCCATATGAAGAGGTTGGTCTGCAGGTTCGTCGTCGTCTTTATCAACTCGCTCGCTCTGGCTCGAATATGTAAGGCTTGATGGACAAGTCTTCTGTTGTTGACATTTTATTAACGTGTGAATACCCTATCGTATATAATCGTATATCTCTAATCAAACTACAATAATGGCCGAACGTGGGGAGTTGAACTGACCGTGAACTCATCGACCTGGAGAGCGGTATGTTTTGAAACGGGTCGCTCACAGATGCACATCAGAAAAGGGGTAGAAAAGGGGCTTGTGGAGCTATAATAATGAGGAATTCAGACCCAAGCATTGCAGTTATGTTTTATATAGACCACAACGGTATGATTTATATGTAAAAATGAATGATTTAAAAGCATGATATGTACCCTTTAAAGCTCATAAAAGCTGGAAATTCAAAGGCAGAAATACGAATGTAAGAAAATGTTACAGTCAGCATATAGCTTTATTTATTTTTGCCTATTCTTCCCATGATTGCTTTTTTAGTGTTTCTCTCTGGATGTAATATAATGATGTAGCACTTTGGAGCAAATATTGCCCCCAGTAATCCAAAACTAGAAGCTAAAATGGCAAATATCTCCACAGCCACGGCATATTTCCCTGGTGAGCTCACATATGCTGGAACAAACGCAATCCACACAGCACAGAAGATCAACATGCTGAAGGTAATAAATTTAGCTTCATTAAAGTTATCTGGAAGATTCCTTGCTAGAAAAGCTAACAGAAAGCTTACTGCAGCCAGGAGGCCAATGTATCCCAGCAGAATGGCAAACCCAGTCACTGAGCCAATAGCACATTCATACACTATTTTAGATCTGATATACATGATGTTTTTATGGGGTGTTGGAGAGGCAATTGAGAGCCAGATTGCACATATCACAACTTGGACTGCAGTAAGGATGACCACAGTGCCTCTTTGTTGAGCTGCTCCAAACCATTTCATGGCACTTTTACCCTCAGGTCGAGATGACTTGAACACTGCTATTACCACCATAGTCTTGACCAGGATGCTGGAGACGCACAGGACAAAACTAATACCAAACATGGCATGTCTTAATTGACACGTCCACAATTGTGGCCGGCCAATGAACAGCAACACACACAGGAAACACAGTTTGAGTGACAACAGCAGGAGGAAGCTGAGCTCTGAATTGTTGGCACGTACTACAGGAGTGTTACGATGATGAGTAAATATAACCATCACAATAGCACAGAAGTAGGAGCCAAGCAGAGATGCAGTGGTCAGTGAGATACCCAGAGGATCCTCATAGGAGAGAAACTCAACATCTTTGGGGATACAGCGATTATTTTCTGGGCTGGACCAGAAATCATTTGGACACACTGTACATTCATTAGAATCTGTGAGAAATGTATATAGAAAAATATTTGTGTAACATTTGTAGAGTTCTGCACAAAACATACATTTTTCTTTTTGAATATCACTCATCACCTGATGTATTGGAAATCTCTCCATCTCCGCATGGCAGGCAGTCAAAACAGCAGACAGGAAGACCCTTCCTTGTGGCTCGTCTGGTTCCTGGGGGGCAACTTTCACTGCACACAGACCGTGGGGGCTGAAAGAAACATCATCTGTTATCACTCATGGGTTTGTATGTTTCTGACTATCTTTAATGCATAATAAATAGCTTGGCCTTTTCATTCATTTGTTCTAATTTGTCTTATCATAGCTTTGTGCATCATTGAGACTACACATCTGCAAAAAGGATAGCATTAAGTTAAAATGGTAGTTACTTTTTTTGTCTCAAAGTTCCAGTATATTGCATTTTCATCCAGTGTTAGCACGTTCCCTGTTGCCGCCCCTTCATCTACCACACCTACTGTGCGAACAAAAATCGACCCATCAGAACTTGGGTGCCAGTTCATCACATCATATATGGCCAAAGCATCTCCATTCTCATTAAATGACACGTGATCCCCAAAGCCTGTGGTGAAGTTCACTTTCTGTATGTAGTGAACCAGCTGTATAGGTTATAAAAACAAATATTGCTCAAATATTTCTGTCTTTTTTCCATTTAGCACAGTAAGCTGTGTGCCCTATTCCAGTGGGTTTTACCTGCCATGGCTGTAGGTTGGTTATGTCAGCACAGCTGTTCTTACTGAATGGTCCTCTCCCCTCTTCACACTGGATCAGGTCATGAAGAGCATGTGCTAGAGCATAAACTGCCTTATACACATTATAAGAGGCCCTTAGCTCTGATACATCATTATATTCATTAACTGTGCTGTTCAGATCTTCATGGACTGTACACACTTTTTCTCCATCTTTGCTTCCATTCTCAAATTTGCATTTAAACATGTTCTCCCAGAAGATTCTCACCATATTATTTCTTGGATCACTGTCAGGATGAAGGCATATTAGAAATTCATGAAGTCCCTTAATCTCTCCACGACGGATGGCAATGCCCAGCGTGCCTCCAATAAGGGGTACAAAACGTGGAAGGTGGAGGACAGGTGAGATGCTCCAAGCCTCACTTGCAATCCACTGCCTGCCTGTCACATTTTGCAGTAATAACTCATCCATCAGGGGTAACAGATCAGTTGAAAATGCCACCACTACTTTGGCTGTAGAGGCCTTAATCACTGCCACTATGCGCTGAATGTCCCTGTGATTATCATAAGGCATTATTTCAGAAAAAGCCACACAACCTCCAAACCGCTGCATTTCCTGGTGGAAGGCCTGAGCAGCGTAGATGCCATAGTCATCATCACTATAGAGGACACCAACCCAGGTCCATCCAAAATATTTTAAGATCTGTACCATAGCTCGCACCTGGAAAGCATCACTGGGGATTGTTCTGAAGAAAGAGGGGTACTTTTTTCTGTCACTCAAACAGGAGCAGGTGGCGTAGTAGCTAATCTAATTAGGAAAGACAGAAAGGCAGCAGAATGGTTAGGGTGGCTAGAAGACAAAGAGTAATTTCATTAATATGCTCTCATTATTATTATATTAATATCATATCTTACCATAGGAAAACGAAACAGACCCAATACACTAGAAACTGCAATAGAGTGAGTTGACCCAGGATCCCCAACAATAGCTATTACTGGTGGTGAGCCAGTGCAATTGAGGTTTGAAAATGTCTCCTCTGTCCCACTAATAAGAGTTGTAGCAGCCCTGAATGCTACTACAAGTTTCAAACAGTTGTCATAAAGATGGTAACCAAGAGTGATGTTAGGCAGTAATTTTGGATTCTTGTTTATCTCATCTATAGCGAAAACCATGGTCTGTGCCTGCTGGAAACTTGACATATAAAATCTAGAAATAAACACAGATATTTTCAGTGACAATGTCAAAAATCATTGGTTTTACACACTCAATCACAATATGAAATAATCTGCATTTATCTAGAGAGTTATTAAAAGTTTATTTTAACACTATACACATTCTATTAAGTAACTGATTTTGGTTTTGTAATGGATATTGCATGTAATCAAATAAAAACATGCAAAATAATGATATTGCATGTAATCAAATAAAAACATGCAAAATAATGATATTTTTCCTGTTATTGTCATCTCATTTTGGTCTTTCACAATCTTCAATCTGTATAATTTCTCATCCTTTGCTTTCCACACTCACTCCTCACACTTGGGCTGTTCTGGCTTCATTCTGAAACTCAGTTCTGGGAAGACTTTGAGGTGCTGAACCTCAAACAGGCCTCCGATGATGAAGTCTCCATCCTGGTACATCCCATTCAACTTGAAGTGTCCCTGGCTTTGACAGAAGTCTGAGTTGAAAGCAGGAGGGATAAATGTAAAGGACAGATACAGGCATAAGTTTAGAGTGATCAGCATCTCTCTTACTTGTTCTCTGTATAAGTCACATCACCCTATCCATTCCTTAATTTATTATTGTTCTCTTTTTTTCTTTAGAACAGGTGGTCACATTGAGCTTCCTGGGAATTAATACGTCATTGTGTGTTACTTAATGTTATTAAAATATCATTGATGAATGCCAGTGCAGGATGCAACATTTTTGTATTAGCTTTTCTGTTGTCAAAACACACACACACACACAATGAACATTTCCCGTAACTCTAATACACAATACAATTCATTGCATGATTGATTCAAGTACATTGGGACCTTTTCTTACAGATTTTACAGTAGATACATCAGAAATTAGTAGTTTATAGCTTTATAAGCTGTTTAACAAATGGGCTGTTCAAATAAACAACTGGATTTGCATATTCGGTATATTTGATCATGTTCAGATAAGATTAATAGGGTTAATTGATTCTGGGTTTGAAGACCTGAGCTGGTGCGAGTCAGCCATTGGTTTTGTAGCTTCTGTTTCTTCTGATGGACAACATGTTACACAGGATATCATGTAGGTGGCAGTCATGCATTGGACACCATTTTGTACTTGTTGTGGTTATTATAAGAGCTTTGCATACTCCCTAATCCCTATTCAGCAGTGCAAATTGACAAACAACTGAAACACATACTTATTTGTATTGACATATAGCACCTTTGCTAACAATGCACATTGGAATAAATAATATAATATATTTATTATGTATTAATATCAATGTTGTGTCACCCTTGGTAATAGTTAATAGTTACATGCATATGATATTTGTGAAGAACATAATTTTAATTCAGATTGACAGAGAAACCCAAAACAAATCATCAAATTCAATCATAAAATTCAAACACAGCAAAAACAACCTAATAAATCTGTTACCTGTTAAACACACCAAAGGTATAAATTGATATAATTTCCTAAATGTTAAATAAACTTGTACAAGCAGGAGAGTGAGACTTGGTACAGGATCTTGCAGCAGATAATAATTTATGTGGTCACCATGTAAAACTATTTCTTTTGGGTTGGTCTTTCCATGATGGCTTTTTTAGTGTTTCTTTCTGGATGTAAAACAATAATGTAGCACTTTGGGGCAAATATGGCCACCAGTAATCCTAAACTGGAAGCTAAAATGGCAAATATCTCCACAGCTACTGCATATTTCCCTGGAGAGCTCACATATGCTGGAATAAATGCAATCCACACAGCACAGAAGATCAACATACTGAAAGTGATGAACTTTGCTTCATTAAAATTATCTGGAAGCTTCCTTGCCATGAAGGCTAATAGGAAACTTATTGCTGCAAGGAGGCCAATGTATCCCAGCAGTAGAGAAAAACCAGCCACTGAGCCAATAGCACATTCATATACTATTTTAGAGCGAATATAATGACTGTTTTTATGGGGTGTTGGGGATGCTGTGGATAACCAGACTGTACATATTAGTACCTGTGTAGAAATTAAGGCCAACACTGTCCCTCTTTGCTGTGCTGAACCAAACCACTTTATGGCAGATTTCCCCTCTGGTTGAGATGACTTAAACACAGCTATTACCACCATAGTCTTAACAAGGATAGTGGAGATACACAGGACAAAGCTTATGCCAAACACAGCATGTCTTAACTGACATGTCCACAACTGCGGCCGGCCAATGAACAATAGCACACACAAAAAACACAGTTTGAGTGACACCAGGAGCAGGAAGCTGAGCTCTGAATTGTTGGCGCGTACTATGGGAGTATTTCGGTGATGTGCAAAGATGACCATCACAAGAGCACAGAAACTTGTGCCTAAAAGGGCGGCTGTTGTCAGAGAAATTCCCAGCGGATCTTCATAAGATAGAAATTCCACTTCTTTGGGTATACAATTATCATTTTCTGGACTTGACCAAAACTCATCTGGACACCTGAAACATTCAGGTGAATCTGTGAAAGAAAGAAAGAAAGAAAGAAAGAAAGAAAGAAAGAAAGAAAGAAAGAAAGAAAGAAAGAAAGAAAGAACAAGAGCAACATATAGGGAAATGTATCGCTAATATAACATCTATATATTTCATTTGTAGACATGAATCTACTCACCTGTTGTATTAGAAATTTCTCCATCTCCGCATGGCAGACAGTCAAAACAGCAGACAGGAAAGCCCTTCCTCCTGACTCGTCTTGTTCCTGGGGGGCAGCTCTCACTGCACACAGACCGTGGTGGCTGAAAGAGACATCATCTGTTACAACTCATAGGTTTGTATGTTTGTGACTATCTCTAATGCATAATAAATAGCTTGGCCTTTTCATTTAGCAGGGGTATCATTACTTTCAAATTTATGGGTATTTGCATGTACTTAATAAATATATGTATGAATATTTTTTTTATCATATTCATGTATATTTGTCAGTGTATAGAGTTGATCCAGTAATCCAGCTTGAAAACCACTAATTTACTCATTTTTTGCTACTCATCAGTCAATTAAATGTAACTGATTTTTGTTAAACGTTCAGATATCTTCATCAAGAGTTAAAGTAACATGCTATATGCTAATTGCCTTTTTTGTCTCAAAGTTCCAATATAATGCATCGTCATCCAGTTTGAGCATCTTCCCTGTTGTCACCCCTTCATTTACCACACCGACTGTGCGGACAATGATCGACCCGTCAGACCTCGGGTGCCAGTTCATCACATCATAGATGGCCAGAGCATCTCCATTCTCATTAAATGACACATGATCTCCAAAGGCTGTAGTGAAGTTCACTTTCCCTAGGTAGTGAACTAGCTGTACAGTTTGTAGACAGGACAGTGTCATACGAAATATAAATATATTACTTATATTATATGTATGCACTATTTATTTGAGTCGTACCTGCCAAGGTTTCAGGTTGGATATGTCAGCACAGCTGTTCTTACTGAATGGTCCTCTGCCCTCCTCACACTGCATCAGGTCATGAAGAGCATGTGCTAGAGCATAAACTGCCTTATACACATTATATGAGGCCCTCAGCTCTGATACATCAGTGAATGCTGTATCTGTGTTGCTCAAATCCTCTTGTCCTGAACATTTCTTTTCCCCTTGTTCTTGCTCTTGAGCTATATTTTTGCCTCCAAACTTGCACTCAAACATGTTCTCCCAGAAAATTTTTATTGTACTGTTTTTTGGATTATTGTCAGGACGGAGACCTTTTAGAAAGTCATGAAGTCCCTGAATCTGTCCACGACGGATAGCGATGCCCAGTGTGCCCCCCAGTAGGGACAAATATTGTGGAGTTTGTAGGACAGGCGTTGTTGTCCAAGCCTCACTTGCAATCCACTGCTTGCCTGTGACATTTTGCATCAACAACTCATCCATCAGGGATGACAGATCAGTTGAGAATGCTACAACTACCCTGGCTGTAGAGGTCTGAATAACCTCTACAATTCGTTGAATATCCCTAAGGTTGTTATCATAAGGCAGAATCTCAGAGAAGGCCACACAACCCCCAAACCAGTGCATTTCCTGCTGAAATGACTGAGCAGCGTAGATGCCGTAGTCATCATCACTGTAGAGGAGACCAACCCAGGTCCATCCAAAATGCTTCAAGATCTGAACCATAGCCCGTACCTGGAAAGCATCACTGGGGATTGTTCTGAAGAAAGAGGGGTACTTTTTTCTGTCACTCAAACAGGAGCAGGTAGCGTAATAGCTAACCTAATACAAAAAAGCAGGAGAAACAAAGACAAAGGTCATTTTAATTTTTAAACCTAAAAAGCAAGGAAATGAGAACAATATATAAAGTGTTTTTTTTTACCAAGAGTTATTTGGAAGCAAAGATATTTTATGGAGAAATAAAAAACCTTCATATCTTACCATAGGAACTCGAAACAGTCCCAGCACACTGGAAATTGCTATAGATTGAGTTGAACCTGGATCCCCCACAATCCCAATCACTGGGGGAGGGCCAGTACAGTTGAGGTCTGAGAAGAACTCCTCTGTACCACTAACCAGGGATATTGCAGCCCGGAATGCCACTCCAAGCCTTAAACAGTTGTCATAGATCTGATAACCAAGTGTGATGTTAGGCAGCAGATTGTTATTATTTATCTCATTTATGGCAAAAAGCATGGTCAGTGCCTGCTGGAAACTTGCCATATAGAATCTGGAAAAATCAAAATGAATTGTATAACTAAGTAGAAATGTATGTAGTCTACTGTATATTTGAAATTGATTGATATTAAGAGATTGATAATAACATATACTGTCTCATACAATTACAAATACATTTCCTTTTCCCCCCTTTTCTTCTGTTAGTTTGATAAACAGTAATTGGTTTGCAATTTCAAGTGGAATAGCTATACTGAAGTCACAATGAACAGATCATTTAGAAAAATAGTGTGAGAAGAAGTCACAGTAGCTGCGTTCATTCTATTGTCATCCTTTTCTTTAAATCTCATTTTACTTTTCTTTTACACCCGTTGTTCAGCATAGCTGTTCTCATCCTGCACAGTCCAAACTCACTCCTCACAGTGGGGAACTTCCGGCTCAGTTCTGAAGTTAAGTTCTGGGAAAACTTTGAGGTGCTGAACCTCAAACAGGCCTCCAATGATAAAGTCTCCATTCTGGTACATCCCATTCAATTTGAAGCGTTTCTGGAGCTGACAGGAATCTGAGATGAAAGCAGCAGAAATATAGTAAAAGGACAGATACAGGCAGATGTTTAGAGTGAGCCACATCTCTCTCCTTCTTTCTTTTTTTATGGCCAACTCAACTACTGAATTCACTGCATGACCCAGTGTGATATTCTTTTATAGAGAAGGAGGTGTCACTTGAGAAATGAGGACATCCTTCTGGGTAACTCTAACTTGTCATTTTCAAATCATGAGTGGAAAGCAGCTTAAAAAAATATATTAAATAAAATCAGAATCAGTTTTTTAACATTTCTGTTCTTGCGTTTCTCGTTAAACATTAACGTTCCAAAAACAGATTGATTGGAAAAAATACTGGTCGACTACTATTGAAAAAAACTGATGACCTCAGTGGTGAAAGAATGTACTTTAGGCATGAAAATGCATGCTCTACACTGACTTGCATTACAGGCAGTGCAATTTTATTCATATGAAGTTTATGCAAATCTGGGTTAGTAGGAGCAACATTTGCTCAGTACTTAAAATACACTCATGGTGTGTTCACACTGAACGCGAAAAGAGCGTCAAATATGCAACTATCGCGTCTAGTTAGACGCTTGACCATCTTGAACCCATTCGCACATCCGCCTCACTCACGAATAAAAAACAACAACAACAACACAATTTCTTTCTGGCATACGTTTCCGTCATGTCTGAAATAAAAGATATTGATGCTCTGTACTTGTTGTGGATCGAAGTCCCAAATATGGAGGAAAGCCAAACGCCGACGTGTCTAGGTTCACAGCACCAGAGGATGGACACAAACTAATGGCTTTCCGTCTCAGCTGCGGAGCGCCTTTCCATCTGTCTCATGTCAGGGACAGTTTCATAAAATAACGTCAACACCAATAAATATACAGCATATATCATTTATCGACTGAAATATTATGTTTTACTAGAGAGAGGATGTGCGGCACAACCCCTCAAACTGACAGGTGTATTGCCCCTCATAAAAATAAGCCCCGCCCCTTTTTACCCCTCCCAACCACTTCCGGTCTGTCTACCTGGACCGTGGGAAAATTCCCACGGTCTCCCCTCCTCTTTCCACCCACCACCACCCCTCACTACCACCCACACTTCTGGAGAGGTCACGTGATCATGGGAATTTTCCCACGATACAGAACCCCTCACCACCACCACCCCACTTCTGGAGAGGTCATGTGATCATGGGAAAATTATCCCACGGACCACATCTGATGATGTACTTTTAGACAATTACACATTGTTTAAAAGTATTAAAATACACGTATCTTTAGTGTTCAAAGACTTTAAAACGTTTAGACATAAAAATAAATAATTAATACATTTTTAAATATAATTCAATAATTAACATTATCAAAATGCGTAGTAAAACGCTTGATAAATTTATAGTTGAGCCACTGTAGTCACATGGAATATTTAAACATTTTCTTTATTGACTTTCTGGGCCGTCAAGTGTCATTCCCTTAGGAGCCTATATGGTAATGATACGGCTCTCAAATTTAATAAAAAATATCTTCATTTGTGCTCCGAAGACGAACGAAGGTCTTACGGGGTTGGTACAGTATAAGGGTGAGTAATTAATGACTTAATTTTCATTTTCGGGTGAACTAACCCTTTAACATGGTCCGTAGCAGTCTGTATATTTCGCGTTTGTTAATCCACTTGTTAATCCAAGTCTCCTCAGTCTTTTCAAGCCAATCCATAATGTGGTAAAAACTATAAATCCAATATCTCACTCTGTGAAAACCAAATCGTGGGTGCTCCGCCGTATATTCCATGTAAATCTTATATCCACAGCAATCAGTCAAATGAAATATATATTTCCCGTTTGTTAATCCACTTGTTAATCCAAGTCTCCTTTAAGAAAAGAGAAGCTCTGTGAAAACCAAATCTTAGGTGTGTCACAGTGTCTGGTTGTGTTCCCTTGTTTGTCCACTAGATGTCCTCCTTCCCCTCAGTGTCATGTACTTCTGGAACTGCATTTCCCAGCATTCTGTCTGTCACTGTCACTCATCAGTTCATTGCACTCAGCTGTTCCCCGTAATCATTGTTCCCAGCTGTTCTGTGTTAGTCTTGTTAGATATGTGTATATATTCCCTGTCTATGTTAGTATGTGTACGGAGTCGTTGTAATTTGTCATCACACTTCTGGTGTAATTTCTAGGTTGGTTTTAGTATTTTTCTGTTCTTGTTTTTGTATTTGAATTGCCTTTTTGGATTTTGACCCCTGCCTGGACTGGATTATGATTTATGGATTACCCTATAAAAAGAACATCTTACTGCAATTGGATCTGCTGTCTCTCTCCTGTGTGTGTCATGACAGGGTGCTCCGCCGTATTCCGTGTAAATCTTATATCGTTATCCACACAGGTCAATCAAATTTATTTTTCCATATGTTCCATGAAGCTTCGTGAAGAAAATGCGATAATCACGATCATCGCCATTTTCGCGGAGCTAGAGTTAAATCCATCAGCTTTATTAAAGGCATCTCTCTGAGTCTTTGGAGGTCAGAGAGTTTTAAACAGACGCGCGTCTCCTGCCGCCATGTGGGTAGGGCTTGCGTGTGCGTACGTACGTGCACATGTGTGATGCGTGAAGCTATTTATCATGTACTGTACTCTGCATGCGCGACGCGTGGGAACTATATCTCGTTTTCACAACGCCTCAATACCTAGCGTGGGTGGGATCTAGGTGTGGGAAGGAACTAGGGGTGGAGTTTGTGTCCGGTCACTGTGAGCCATCCCAAAACGTCATTCTAGCTTTTGGATTGTAAGAGTGCGGTTGTGCTTCGTCGGTCTCCCTGGAATTACATTTACACAACTTTGAACTGTTGGAATTACTAACTTTTTAACAAGCTTTTGGAGTTAAAATCTCTAAAGTTTGATATACCCATGGAAACGGATTAATGCCATGGGATAACTATCAGATCCTGTCGGATATATCTTTGGATTAATCTTTAAACAGGATCATTTTTGTTTAATTATCTCTCACAAGGACTTTTGGAATTATCTAAAGTTTTGGATATATACCTTTTGGATAAAGTGTTGCTGTTGGATACCTTTTGGATAACCTTTGCTGCTGGATATAGACGCTTTCAGCAGTGACAACATAAACAAACGGTACTGCGCATGTGCATTAATCTGGCCCAAACTTAACTTCCGGCAGACTTGCGGAGACAATCCATAACAAGTAAATAACCTAGTAGCTGGTATCTTGCCAGTCAAAGAAAATAAATGTTACCTGGCCAAACTGAAATGTGACACTACCAGACCCGTTGAACAAAAATTGGAGACAAGATGTTTTTCTACCGACGTGTCTGATTTACCGCAGTGTTAAAAAAACTGTGGCGAGCGCGACGGCGGAGTTTGATAAGGTTAACATAGCTAGGCTACTTACATGCTTGCTAACCTTTTTTTAAGGTGGGTCTCACATTGACAGCATGTTGGATGGACCTGTGCAGCGCTGTTTATGATACTAACCATTCAATACACAGACTGGTCCGCTGTCAATGTGTTTGCGAGAGAGAGAGAGAGAGTGAGAGCGTCCGAATATGCGCTGCACGCAAGTTACGCAACTCTGCAGTCAATTACAACTTTTCCCATCTTAAATTGTTAAAAACACGGAAATCAATATGTGGCGGTCAGCGCTGATAATGTGGTGGATTGCCACTAATAAATGTATGGGAAACACTGTACCGGTTATCACTCAGATAAACATAGGCTATTTTAATACCGCCGTCTCCCTCATAGGAAACCTTGACATTTTTATTTTTAAAAATTGCGTTTGCTCCCTAGGTCAGGTTGCACCCCACAGCTCAATAACCTGCTCATCACCTTAAATTTCAATCTGTAGTCAATGCCATATTATCCAGTAAACACTAATAAACGAACAGAACGGAAGTTAACTTTGGGCCAGCTCATCACTATGGCAACGCGTCTGATGAAACCGTCTATATATTTGCTGATGGATCTTTAAAACTGGATAAATCTATGGAGATGGATCTTTAAACAGGATAATTTTGTTCTTCTTTCAACAACAAAACAGAATGTAAAAACGTAAGCCAGTTTTTATGCTTTTACGTGTTGATATGCTATAATAATTGTTTGATGTAATTTTAATTTAAGATTGATGCTGTTTTAATACGCATTTATAACGTTAATTATTGAATTATATTTTTTAATTTATTAATTATTTATTTTTATGTTTAAACATTTGAAAGTGTTTGAACACTAAAGATACGTGTATTTTAATACTTTTAAACAATGTGTAATTGTGTAAAAGTACATCATCAGATGTGGTCCGTGGGATAATTTTCCCACGATCACATGACCTCTCCAGAAGTGGTGTGGTGGTGCTGAGGGGTTCCGTATCGTGGGAAAATTCCCATGATCACGTGACCTCTCCGGAAGTGTGGGTGGTGGTGAGGGGTGGTGGTGGGCGGAAAGAGGAGGGGAGACCGTGGGAATTTTCCCACGGTCCAGGTAGACAGACCGGAAGTGGTTGGGAGGTGTAAAAAGGGACGGGGCTTATTTTTATGAGGGGCAATAAACCTGTCAGTTTGATGGGTTGTGCCGCACATCCTCTCTCTTTTACTGTTGTGCTTTCTTATGCCAACAACAGCTGATCTATCTTGTCGTCGTTTGAAGACTGGGATGGAATGTGCTGTGTAGTCGCGTTGCTGCCAGATAAATTCTGAATAGCTTCTCAGGCATGAAATAAGTGAATTTTCTTGCTTTTGGATAGAAGTTTGCTTAGAAAAAGTCTGTATTTAGGATCGAGAAATAAAACAGCCACAAACCCTAACAAAACAAAAATATATTGCAGTATATTGGAAAATACCATGTGATAGATTAGGCAATATATTCCCATATATAGGATTTAATATTTATATTGTCCAATATATTGCAATATATGCATAGTCCATATTAGGGGTGTCAAAATTAATCGTTTCTACGGTGCATCGCGATGCAGACGAGGACGATTCGGTATCGGTTCAGTAATAGCCCATAACCGGTTATAATGTACTGACGCTTTTCTGACGTCAGCACCGCATGTTGCGTGCTCGCG